CAAATATATTTTTTTTAGTGAAAATGTACTAATTTTTATAAATTAACAAATATTACATTTTTATTGAAAAGTTAAATATTACATTTAATACAATTTTTATTGATCCATAAACATCAACGGAGCTATCTTATAAAGAGTGGTGTCAATTAACACCACTCAAAATTAATTTCGTGGGAAAATGGGTTAGCAAAACATGTTTTGATGCTTAGACTCATGATTTTATAATGATAATATTGTATATAATTTGACACGTAACTCAAACATATATGTTTTGTTTTTTTTTTTTTTTCAAGAAATCTTTATTGTTTGTAGTTTATTTTTTGTTTTTGAGCAAGAATTAAATGAAAAGATGTCGTTATCACTTGTTTTAAAAAAAATTAGTTGTACTCAATTGAACATAAATACGGATTATTTGTTAATATACTAATTCTTATTAAGATGTCAATTAAAAGATGAAAGTGCCAAATATATTATTGAATTTATTATTTTTATGTAATTGAGTCATTGTACATTAAATATATAGAATTAAAGAGTAAAAGACATTTTTGGTCCTAGACTTATAGTGATACGGACAATTTCGGTCCTCCATAAAAAATTTTGTCATTTTATGGACAGACTTATTGTGACGAGGACATTTTGATCCTCCGTCTATATATCCGTTAAATGACTGTGTAAGTGAGGGATAATTGCGTCATTTCATGTTATTTCCTTCTCTATATTTCATCCAATCTTATTTTGTTCGGAATCTGACTAGATGTAGCAGCATGACCTCGGCGACAACGACCAATTCAAAACCCACTGTGCTGCCCCATAATGCTATCAATACCACCCTCCTCCATCTCCCCATCCGAAATTGAACCTGCGTCAAAACCGTCTTAAAAATCCTGGCAATAATCGAAGTTGATGTGTATCAAATTTGAGTGGATTTTCCAGCCGGCGAGCAGTTTGCAAGAGAGAGTAGCTAGCAGGGTGCCGTCCTTTTAGAAGACCATTTAACATAATTACAAACGGAGGACAAAAAATGTTCTCGTCACAATAAGTATGTCTATAAAATGGCAAAATTTTCTATAGATGACCAAAATTGTCTGTGCCACTATAAGTCTAGGACAAAAAATGTCTTTTACTCAGAATTAAATTATCAATCAAACAAAATGTTTTTCAATTTCTTCAAGTAAAATCTAATCACATTGCTTTACGTGGTATATACGTTTTTGCCCTTTAATTTCTTTGATCATATAAGTTGGAAAGGTACATTGAAATGTTTTAAAATTAAATTGCAATGGAAGAAATTTGATATTTTTTTTCAAATTGCACATGTTTTGCGTGGAGGCAAGGCACCACAATACAATGCTTGTTTTCAAATGCACAATCATTTATCTGAAGATGCATAATAGGTAGTTTGAACGGGAGATGTATATCTCATTTATATTGTCTAGATGAGAGCTGTATAACTGTATTAGATGAACAGTAATTACAAATTTACAAACTATAGGAATATATACATGAGAGAATCATAGGAAGATTAGGATAAAGAGTCATAATGTGACTCAAATACATAGAGTCCTAATACTCCCCCTCAAGCACAGGGTATACTAGTAACATGTACCTTGTCTCTAAGAAAAAAAAATCTAGGACTTGGTAAAGCTTTTGTAAAATGTCAACAAGTTGATCTTTTGTTGAAATAAAATTGACTTGAATGTCTCCAGAAGCAACTCTATCTCTAACAAAGTGGTAGTCAATTTCGACGTGCTTGGTACGAGCATGAAAGATGGGATTTGCACAAATATAAGTATCACCAAGATTATCACACCGGCCACTTCTTGGAACAGAAATACCTGACACCTTGATTTCACGCAATAATGATACTATCCAAATCAACTCAGCATAGGCATCTGCTAGAGCTTTGTATTCTGCTTCAGTAGAAGATCTAGCAACAGTTTTTTGTTTCTTGCAAACACAAAATTGGACCCAAGAAACACAGCAAAACCACTAGTAGACTTACGGTCTTCAGGACACCCAGCCCAGTCAGAATCAGAAAAAGCATGAAGTTCTCTTGACATTGATTTTCTTATACGTAAGCCAAAATTAATTGTTCCCTTAACATACCTTAGGACCCGTTTTAGTTGCTCACAATGTGAGACTGTAGGAGCATGCATGTGTTGACAAAGCTGATTGACTAGAAAGGATAAGTCAGACGTGTGATAGTTACATACTATATTGCCCTAGCAAGACTCCTGTACTGCGTAGGATCCTCATACAAATCAGCACTAAATGTAATAGATTTCGAAACAGAAATAGGAGTAGATAATGCCTTGCATTCTGCCATTCCAGCACATTTCAAAATATCATTCATATATCTTTGTTGCGAAAGTAAAAGACCATCATCACATTTAATTGTTTCAATCCCAAGAAAGAAACCAGGTTCACTAAGATTTCTAATCTTAAAGGTAGCAGATAATTTAGACAGCAAACGAGTCACTAGATCCTGATCACTTTCCATCACAAGTATATCATCAACATAAACCAATAGATACACATAAGCAGAATATTGGGAGTAATAAAACAAATACACGTTTTTTTTTATACTTGAAATCCAACAAATAAAAGAAACGTGTGTAAACGGTTAAACCACGCTCTAGGAGCATGTTTTAAGCCATACAAGGAACGTTTCAGCAAGCAAACATGTTAGGATACTGTGCATCAATATAACCTGGGAGCTGTTTCATATATATAGTTTCAGACATATTTCCATTTAGAAACGCATTGTGAACATCAAGTTGCCTAATAACCCAACCAGAGGACATAGCCAAAGAGAAAGGCAATCTAATCATAGTAGGTTTAACCATAGGACTGAATGTGTCAAAAATTTCATGATGAGGAACCTGATTAAATCTTTTTGCTACTAACATTGCCTTGTGTCTTTCAATTAATCCATCAGCCTTTTGTTTTGTGTGAAAAAATCATTTACACCCAATAACATTCATACATGCCTGAGAAAGGATAAGACACCATCTATGATTCTGTAGTAGGGCATTAAACTCTTGATCCATAGCCTCATGCCACTCTGGATATTTAACTGCCTGTGTGTAGCAAGTGGGATCTGTAGGACAACCCTGAGCAGTAAAAGCTATGGGAGGAGTTTGAGACCGACTACGAGTGCTCATGGCGTGAATCCGGGTGGTGGGTTTCACAGATTTACTTCGCGGTCAGCCACCAGGCCGTGCAGTGGCAGCTACTGTCGGTGCAGTGTCTAGCTGCTCTTCGGACTGCCCAGGCGCGATAGCTTCGATAGTGGACTGCTCTTGTAACACCCCGACTTTTACCAGCATTTTTAAAACTTAGAATTTAAAGGCAAGCAAACTAAACATCAATCAACAAGATCGGAAGCTATATTAAACCGGAAAGGCGTTATGCCAAACCCATAGAACTATGGGTGCACAGGCTAAATCTATCAAAATCATCAAACATAACATTAGTCTAGGCCCACAAGCCACTAGTCTAGGCACACGGGCCAACAAAAGCAAAACATCTATCCACAGGAGCTACACTAACTAGAGTCCTCATCTAGTGCGCACTCCAGACTAAACTGATAAGTGCATAATTGTTCATATTTATACCCCATGTCTATCCCATATTTAGCCTTGTTTTGCTTATGAAGTGTCACTATGTTGTTCAAAATGATCTTTATTTTGCTCATTTGATCCATTATGCACAATTCATTATCTTTGAGTAGAAATGAAGGATTTTAGATCATGTTGGATGCATTTGGAGTCAAGGGGAGCCAAGGTGAAGCTAAGGAGATGGAGGCAACACTTCCAAAGGAGCCAAAGAGTGATGTTTTCAATGTTGTTGATCATATGGACAAATTAAACCAAGGCAAAAGTGGAACAAGTGTCAACAAGCTGAAATTCTCGCATGGATTGGCCACTGTTCTGTTTTCGAGCCATATCTCGGTCTAGAAGTATCCAAATTGAGTTATTCTTGTTCCATTGGAAAGACAACTCAAAGGGCTACAAATCCTATTCAAACATAAAAGCCTAAAAAGGAAGCCATAGTGGTCAAAATCATTCTTGAAGTTGAAGTTCCGAACTTACAGATTTCGTCCAAAATTGACCACTGTTCAGTAATTTGATTATATCTCGACCTAGGAATGTATAAATGAAGTAATTCTTGCACCATTGGAAATAAGACTCGAAGAGCTACAACTTTGATGCAGATATCAAAGCCTAATTCTGAGCATAAAGTGGTAAAAATCAGCCTACAAGTCGGAGTTGCGTTGCAGAGAAGCACTCGACGCGTCGAATCTTGGCAGTAAGGTCGCGATTTGCATTCTGTAAATGCGCGAAGCGTCGTGAATTACGCTCGACGCGTCGAGCCCCCACCTCTGCTCCTTTTTAGCTGAGTTTTCACTCGTTTCTAATCGGTTTTGAACCCCATTCGAACCCAAACTATTTTCTACTCTTTCCTTTCATATTTTAGTGTTAGATTAGGTGTAGATTTAGGTTATTTATCATATTTCAAGCTTGTATTCAAGGATTCAACACTTGGATTCCAAGATTTAGCATCAATTTCTTTAGAGAAGTGTTCTTTCCCTTATCTCTTTTCCTTTGCAATGTTTATGCTTTACACTTGTGTTTTTGTGTTCTTTATGCTATTTAATCATGAGTAGTTAGTTTATGGGCTTGAGTTAGGGTTGTATTATATATCTTGATGCTTGATTTATGATTATTGCATAAAGGGAATTTTTGCCTACCTAGGGTTCTTGAGTTTATGAAGGATTTGTGTTTGTTTATTGTTAATACTTGGTGTACAACATTCATTGGCATGTTTTGGAGGTTTATTGGCCTCAATGAGAGTTGGGTCAAGATTCCAAGCCACTCCTTGCATAAACCCGATTTCTTCCTATGGAAATGGGGGAAATTGGGGATTTTAGATGCTTTGTGTTCTTGAAGAACTTGTAGTTTGATTCACCACGAGAGTGTGGCAATTCCTTGTTCTAATCCTTGTTAATTTGCTCATGTGAGTGACTTATAGACTAGGATTCCTACGTGTATCCCCTCTATTCCTTGGTTGGGTGATTTTCCCCAATCCTTAGGTTGTGCTATGCATCTAGAAGATAATGCTCCCTAGCTTGAGTCCTATTTCTTTATTTTGTGTTTATCTTTGTGTATATGTGTTAGTATTATCATTTCCTTAAACTTGTAGTTTGCTTAGCTTCTTCTTGATTTCCTTATGCTAGTGCCTAGTTTATTGCGATTGCATATTGCGTGCCATATCCCCCAATCCCCTGAGGACTACATAACACACCCGAGCTCACATCTTATTTTTGCTACACAATCATAAATGTAACCTGAAAAAGATAAGGGGATAACTCCCGGTCAGGGAATAATGCTGGTAAACCATCAATACGCGTTAAATAACATAATATATAGATAGATGTAGTCAAAAGCATTTGAGACTGAGGAATATAATATATAGTCATTTGAAAGCCAGAAGGAGATCAACATCAAAGACTCATCACACTCTCAATAATACCGAGGATCATCAACCTCTACAAGACAACAACCACAAACAACAAAGGACAACACAACTCTAGATGCAACCTACCATTCACAAGGTAGAGTTCATCAAAGACATGCATATAAGCAAGGAAATACACAATCACATAATTACAAATTCATGTTCCAACCTTATACCTTAATACCACCCTTATGGCTACCCCCGACCTTATCACAGTTCCAACTTGTACCACCGAGTGTCACCCTGTACTTCTGAGTCCAACCTTTTCCCGATCTGGGACCGTCGTCCCCCACCAATCAGAATACCACCGATCTCAAGTACACGAGGGTACTGTTCAATTCATAGTCACATACCACCGATCTCATGAGCAAAGCTCGAGTAACAAAACCACCAATCTCATTCATATTCACACATAGTCATCATCATCAAGAAGACTAAGGCTCATCAATAGCCTCAATCAAGCATCAACAAAGGGTACAACGATTGGTACAAGATCACACCATAAGAATCAATCAAGGGATTTCAATGAAATCATGAGACAATACTCAACAATCAAAGACAACAATCCACATCAAAATGATTGACAATGCGAGTTGCCAACCCCAATAAGAAGGAACAAACCACACATACTAGCATAACAACATCAAACTAGCATGCTCATCAAACGGGTAAACCAAAATGGTTCCAACGAACCTTCAAGACTCATATTAGCCCAACGAATCACAAGGTTGGACCCTTAGCACGATTTAAGACACCAAATCCTAACATGGATTCCTAACTCATCGTTCTAGACATACGAAACATCAAGAAGACTCACAAAGAGCTCAATAATTCAACAATGGGAGGTCAAATCATCAAAATACCAAGAAGAAAAGCATCACGGGGAACAAATCCGCGCAACCCACCTTCACGTTCCTCGCGGGTGGGACCATAGGTAGGCCCCCACCCGTGGGTCTGCCCGCGGGGTACACACCCTAATCCACCAAGTTCCCCGCGGGTGGGGCGGCGGGTAGGCCATTGCCCGCCGTTCCGCCCGCGGGGTACACCTGTACTCCACAAAATTTCCCTTTGGTGAAAATCATCAACAAAGCCAAGTTCAAGTCCAAAACACCCAAAATCTCACACACAACAAAGATATGACTTGAACCCAAGAAATAGCCAAGCAATGACATTCAAGAAACCTAAATACAAGCTCTAAACATGCATCATCACAAGATCATGCATCAAATCTCAAAATCACATCAAGAACATCAAGTAGAAGCCAAGAATCATCATTTAAGTAAGAAAATAGGTTTTGTATAGCATGAGTTACCTTTGAAGGCTAAAACTTCTTCCTTTACACTCTCCTAAGCCTCCTCTTGGAGTCCTTCTTCTCCACCAACTTCTTACACAAACCAAAACACAAGAAAGATTCTAACTTAGATAAAGACACCCAAAAGATGGCTAAAAAACACTAAATAGCTAAGAATCTTACCCTTTCCTATGCTTGGGAAGAAGAAAGTAGGAATCTTGGGGTGGGATCTTGCAAAGCTAGAAGGTCTTCCTTTTTGCTTGAAGAATAAGCAAGGTTCTTTCTAGAGAGATGATGGAGTGTTTGGGACTTTGGATAGCATGAGAGAATGAAAAGAATGACTTGCTAGGGATAGATTGATCAACAAATCATGGGTGAAAGGTCACTTTTACCCTTACTAAGGTTGGAAAGACAAAAAGGGTAAAGGTACAAAGTATAAGGCATAAGGTACACTTGATAGACTTAAGTGACAAGTCAAATTCTAGTCCCTCGACTATTAAATTTCAGGATTTTAAGAAGAAATTACCAAGGAAGGCTAAGATTGTAACACCCCGTGTTACGATCCCTAAAAACCAATTAATCACTTAACCAATTACCCAAATAAAGAATTAAATTACAATAATTAATTAGGAAAAGGCCCACCATAGTCCGTGGGCCCTCATCTCTAAACCCAACCCCTAGTCCCAAAA